GTTTGACCATTTTGTTACACATGCTTGTGCTTGTTTATTTTACTTTGCGTGATCATTTATTGTACATGGGTCTGCAAGCGGCGGGCATTGCAGTAGGCACTGCATAGTCTGAGGCTCTGTGCAGTAGTCACAGGTGGTTGAACTAATTGTATAGCTGCATTTCTTCATTAGTTCTTTGGAGTGTCTACATGGATGAATCTAAGCAGAGTGTGCACTCAGCCCAAATTAGGGAAGAGAAGGCTCTAGTGGGAATTTATACATCCATGGTGTTCAGCAATAATACAAGATACATAGTCCCTAGTACTTAAAATCTGACCCAGGTTATACTTTCATTAGTCTCTGCATGACTCCTGCTTTCACTCACAAGAAGAACCAACTTTTCTGTAGTCCTGACACTAACATACATTCCAAACACCTTGGAAACTTATTCTGAGCATAGTTGCCAAGATCATCCACCCACTCTCATAGCTGTTGGTTTAGTATGGATTTCCCAGCTGAGTCCAACCATTCTTCTGATCAAACCACTCCATTCCAGTTCCCATATCAATCCAGATAATGTCTTTTCAGTGCTTAAGACACACTTCCAATATTGCTGAAGCACTTTATCCAGCCTCTAAATGAATGGCTTACAGTTTCCAGGTGACCACCTGTCAACCTCTATTCTAGCTTTTTGAAGGACAACTAATCCTTCCAATGAAACTATGCCACTTGCAGGAAGCCCTTTGTCTTTGAGAATGACCAAAACAATGAAAATGTATTGGTTCATCAGCAAATCTTCAGACAAGCTGATCTGTACCCAAAATGAGGATGGTTCCTATTAGACCCTGACTCCATGTGGTGCCCAGTGACTAGGGAAATGATGATCTAATCGCTCATGGGTCCTGCTACTCATTAGCCAGAGCATACAGGGAGCAAATGCTTTTTCCACACATTGCTCACAACAGCTTTATTTAGAATGGAGACAGCTTCGGGCAAGTTCCCTCAGACACCCAGTCTATGAACACAGGGAGAAGCCATGAACAATAGTTCTTTCCACATTTATACACTTTGGTTCATGCTTACTAACATTTATCCCACCCTCACTCCTCCCTTGTTTCACCCATATTTCTTCCCCTTTCAAGCTCCGCCTCTGTTTACTGTTTGGATCATTAGCATGGAATTGCCTGTGAATTTCATTCATTTACATGTCTTTTTGCTATAAGCACATATCTAAGACCTTGACTTCTTTTGTGCAGTCAATGTGTGGAAGCTTATGGAGGCTTCTTCACCAATTACCATTCACCTTTTTGCATATTTTCATCTCGGATTCTGATACCAATTACGTGCTGTTTTTCACATTCCAGTCTGTTTTTCTGTCTCTAGTTGTACCATCCCCACCCTTTTTGGGCCCCTGTATCTTATCTCATTCCTCACTGAAGCTGGTTCACAGCACACAGGCTTAATTGCTGCTTTTTCCAGAAAAATGGTTAACACAATTAAGACGGTTACTTAACATAAGCAAAATCTTATATATATATATATATCACAACAATACTATTATATGGTAAAAACTACTTGCCTAAGCATTCACAAAATCACTTTTAATATATATCATTATGCCTTGTGGTCAGCAGCTTCACTGAGACACAGATTAAAGCCTTGTTCCAGCTGCAGATGTAATGCTTCCCAAAAATCCCCCCAAAATAGTGTTACCTAAACTGTTCCTATAAAAATTCTGGTGCCTTCTATCTCTAACCAATCATAGAGGGCACATTTCTGACCATCTTCCATATGTCTCACCATTTTTAATTTCTTTTTTTTTTCCTGCCTAAGAGAGGGTGTGGATGTCCAAAAACTTGCAAATAACAAGCTGATGATACAGGATGGTGAAGGGAGGGAAGCATTGACCTGTAGATGGAGTCTTTGGGTAGACACAATATCTTTTATTAGACCAACTTAATAGTTGCAAAAAAGTTGTTATATGCAAGCTTTTGGATACCCACATCCTCCCTCAGGGGAAAAAAAAAGAAATTAAAAATGGTGAGAGATATGAAAGATGGTTAGACATCCCTCAGGTATGAAAAGCCAGTCTTTAGAAACCTGTTCTGCATGAATGCAAATGTAGAAGGATTCCAGGGAATAAAAGCAGGTTTTTTACATGTAGGTATCAAATATCAACCAGGTGGGAGGCGGGGCATAAAATCAAAGTGGTCTTGCCAACCCCACCCTGTCAAAAATCATGAGACAAACTGTTAAAAATCAAGAGAATTGGTATGTAAATCATGAAAGGCTATTTTTGAACTCTGTGTGTGTGTTGGGGGTGTTATTTGTGAATGTGTGGGGGGTATGGGTGTGGGGTGGGGGGTTGGAGCCTTTGCCAGGGTCCTGCATCCCCTCCCTGCCCCACTGGGCAGGATTCAGGATCCTGGGGCAAAGGCAAAAGGACAGAGAGTCCCAAGCAAAATACTAGTCCAAGCAATTGGGCAAATTATTTTAAAAGCTCTATAGCTAGGCTCCTAAGTGAATGGGGTGCTTAGCATACTTGAAAGATCTTAAGGCCTCTTACCTAGTTAACCAAAGCCTTTAACACCTAATTTAGGGCTCCATGTTTAAAAAAAAAATGCAGACATGTTTTCAAAAAGTGTACATCTGCATTTTTTTTAAACATGGAGCCCTAAATTAGGTGTTAAAGGCTTTGGGTATCTAGGTAAGTGGCCTGAATATTTTTCAAGTATGCTAAGCACCCCATTCACTTAGGAGCCTAGCTTTAGATATGGAGCTTTTAAAATAATTTGCCCAACTGTTTAGTGGGACAGCTAGTAGTGAGCCCTTGGCTGGGTGGGGAATCCCCACTCAGCCAAAGACAGCCAGGAATTGTCCCACCAACTGTCCCCCAGGGGCTCACTGCTAGCTGCCCCATGGGTAGATTGGAGAGGGGGATGGGGCTTGCCCCTTCCCCACAGCTGTTTCCAAGCCCCATGCCTCACTTGCCCAATAAGTGCATGGGGCTAGGAAAAAGTTTGGGGGCTGGGACCTGCCCCAGACCAGGACAGTTCCTGGCCAGCCCAGGCTGCATGGAAGTCTGAACATTCAGTCTGGAGCTAACTGGAATGTGCCCCAAAATGGGATAGTTTCCAGCCAGCTCCAGGCTGTGCATTCATAGATTCATAGATTCATAGATTAAGGGTCGGAAGGGACCTAGTAGATCTTCTAGCCCGACCCCCCGCCAGGGCGCGAGAACAACAAAAAACCCCAAAAAGAGAAACGGGACTCAAATGAATCCAGCCAGGTAGGCATCCAGCCTCTTCTTAAAGACCCCCAGGGTAGGGGCCAGCACCACTTCCCTTGGAAGTTGGTTCCAGCTCCTAGCCGCCCTAACTGTGAAGTAGTTCTTGCGGATGTCCAATCTATACCTCCTCTCCATCAACTTGTGCCCATT